CGCAGCGTATCTAGGCGAACATGCCTACCAAATTGGTTTGTTTCGTTTTTCCCGTTTATAAAAATTCCAAGGCCTACTTAAACCTGCGGAGACAAATTACTTTTATCTCCGTTCCTGAAACGCACACAGGCATGCCGGATTTAATTATTAGCCACATCACAGCCTTCAAATCTATATCTCTAATATGCCTAATTAAAGTAGAAATCGAACTATGGGAACTGGATAGCTAATTAATAGCTTCAACTCGTGGATTAGCGTTGGTCCACCTCCATTTTTATTTTATTTCTTACGGCCATTTACATTTCTAATCGAATCTTTTTATGGTAATCCCTTAAAAGTCTCCGCTGGCAACTAGTCGTAGTTTGTGACTTTTTGCTGTTACACAGAAAATAACTGAAATGTGCGCTAAAAGATTGTAAGTAGACAAAAACTAGTATTAAAAATTTGTGAAATTGTTTTTGTGAATAATTATCTGCATCATATCCTTTTTTTCTAATTTAAATATTGCAGGAGTAGGTAGGTAGGTACTTAAATTGCAACTGCAACAGTTTTTATAACAGATATTTTTCAAATTAGATAATAAACCAAGAAAACTAACACTCTGGCAACAAATGTTTTATTTTAGTAAATAAAACGCTTATATATCTTTATCACAAAGACAATTCTGCTTTATTTCAACCTTATCTAATTACGTTAAACCTCTTGTTACTAAATGAATTGAGATCGATACTTAGATACTACTTAAATACGTAAGTAGGTACTTTGGTCTTACTTGTTGCAAATAAATAAAACAAAAAACAAAATAAAAGCCTAAAAAGTAAAAAGCGGAGGGATTTGCTCAAGTTATTAATAAACAAGAGTAAATCCCCCCGATCAAAGGAGATTCTGTTTACGTCGCGGACTTTTTACACGTCCGTATAATCGTTCGCACAATAAATTGATCGGGGTTTGAGTCTCCAGAGACTTCGACGCTGGCTTAGAGTGCAAACCTCTCACATGATTACAATAAATCCCTGGCTTATGCGGACACAACCCGTATAATAAATATGGCAGGCTAAAATGTAACATGACTTCTTTAACATTATTTATGCATATTTTAAACTCAATCCCGAGTGCTGCGATTAAACGCTTTTTTTATTTCTCCGGGCATTATTATGGCTCCTATATTTACAGATATAGAAGAATTATAGAATTGTCAGGTTTATTCATTATGCAGATTCGGATGAGAAATTGAAAACTCACTACTATGTAAGCTAAACACGCATCGGGGCGAAATTTTCATATTAATTAGATTGATTTTAATATTTCTTTTTAATAAATGCCTGCATATAAATACGTTATTATATTCAAGCGATAAATTATTTCCTAAGGAATAAAAAATTGCTCTGAAACTGTTTTACTTTTCTTTACGAGTTCAGGAATGATTTTAGCATTACCTATACCCAGTTAATTATTAAGTAATTATTTATACACTTTCAACAGCCACCGGGTACAAGCAAATAAAGCACATATCATAGAGGTGTACATTGCTTTCATTCAGTCGTCCAGTAGGTATCTAAATTAAATCTCAAACTCTACGAGTACAAATTTCATTACACAAATCAGCATGACAAAAAATAGCCCATTCATCAATAACGACTGTAGAATAAATAAAAAACACAATAACATGTGTTTTTTGCATTTTTTCTGGCTAAACAAATAAATATTGACACTTTCACATCGGTGCGAACTGTGTCGAGTGGTATTTGTTAATGCGTTTTTCTCGCTATGACCTCGCTTGCTTTATCAGTCACAAATATTTATTTATTAATTAATAAAAACGTTCACAAGCGTTGCAAAATAATTTTTATGCATACCGTCACGGAAAAATGCACAGGTGTAATGGAACTGATTCAGGAAATGTTGAAAAACAGCTGCGACTTTGAGAATAGGCGTCGAGGAGGCGTTTGATGTATACAAATAGGATATTCCGTTTATTTATTTAATTACACCTATAATAAAGTAATTTGAAAAAGTTAATTTCCACAATATCTCGCAGAGAACGATAAATCTGCGTTGAAGTATTGTAAAAAAAAATAGTTTTCGTTTTGTAGACCCCACTCACCCCCCACCAGTAATTTATAATTAAGAAAGCATCTCGCAATTTTTTATAACATGCATAAATTGCTGCATTTACCTTTGGAAACGCAATACGTGGAAATGATTGTTAATTATATGGCTGCCGTAGCTGGCCACGAAACAAATCTTAAATGGTTTACGCTACATATTAAATATGATCGTATTGCCTGTTAAAATAACTGGCGTAAAAGTAATTATTAGGTAAGTGGGGGCACTCCCGGCTCGACGGACGCCATTATCAGATAATTAAAGGCGGGATGGGGCAGCATAGACGAATTTTTAAGAATTTTTTTGATAAATATGTTGTCGTTTTTTGACTTCACATAACTTTAAAAGTTTTGACTTTACAAAAGTTTAAAAGATTGCAAAATTGACTTATATAACAATAGCAAAGCAAAAAAAACAAACAGACAGGTAGTGTGAACACTTCGCCTTCGCCAGGATCATCGTCAATTACTTACTTTAGAGCAGTTTCCTGGGGAGACTGCAAAGCTGGCGCAGAACAGTAACCCCAGGTGGATCACAGGATCAGTTTATCTCGAGGACGATTATGAATATATTACCGTGTTTTCCAGCACGTCAGCGAAAAGAACAAGCTACATCATCCTAGCGATGGCGCGAATACTTCTTCGTTTCCAGGACATCGCCTATTACATATTTTAGAGCAGTCTCTCCGGGGAGACTTCAATGGTGATGCGGGACAGCAACCCGGGGCGGATCGCAGGATCAGTTTATCTCGAGGACGATTATGAATATATTATTGCGTATCCCGGTACGCGCTCATCAGCGAAATGACCCGCGAATAGACAAGACAATAGTTTGTTTCTGTAGGCCAGACAATGGACGAGCCGAGCGGGGCCCCGTTTCAAACTTACCGCCGCTCCGCGGTCGTACCTGTGCTCGGCGGCCCGCTAGGACAGGTTGCGGGGCGCGACGGAGGCAGGTTGGAATGCGGTGGGGGGGCGCAGCAGTCGCCGCTCGCTCTTGCTCAGTCCATCTCAAGATCTTAACCGGATGACACGTCGCGATCCGTCCCGTCCGCGTTGAACTTGTTTACTTGTCCTCTGCTGGCGAACCCCACGGTTTAGTGATCGGGTGTGCAGAATTAGTGCGGTTTACCGTGGTGTGCTACCAGAGTGGTGTTTATGAAAGAACCTCGACGTTGGGGAGTACAGTAGCGCGTGCAAGTTGTACGAGCCTCTTCCCCGCAGGTACGTGGATGCCGGAGTCGCCGATCTCGCCATGCCTCTGTTAATAACAAACGAAAACCTCCCGGTCTGACGGTCCCTCCGCAGCTGGATCATCCCGGAGCGTGTCGTCGCACCGGTATGACAGATATTTAAATGAAATCTGTCACTTTGCTGGGATCTCCTCGCTCCCGAAGATCTTGAAATCCCTGCCGCCGATCTAGACACTTGTAAATGCTGCGATTTTCCGGGCACGGCACCTTCAAAGAATCCGGTAAATTGAGGAACCATTACAAACATATTTAGAGAGTGGTCGCGAACGCAGAAGTTATGAAGGCATGTTTTCAGGCGGGATAGTAGCGCTTTTGTTCTGGTTATTAGCGAGTCTATGTCAGGGGATGCACCTCGGGCATCCCGAAGTACCCTCTGGAAGGGAAATCAGTACGTAGCGACGTCGCTACACGTCTACCGAGAATCAATTAGAAAAACACACGGAGAGCGCGCTAGCGACCGGTTCGGCGATATTTTCCTTCAAATACGGTGTCGTTTAAGTTTCCATTTATAGACAGCATTAAGTAATTAAACTAATTCTTCAAATGATTAACCTTTCCTATATTTAAATCCGGCACGACGCGGTACTGGTCATTTCCATACACAGGAAAAAACCGTTTGAGTGGAAAATTAGAAATTGGCCTCTATAAAATTTCACAAACTTTCTTAAAATGCAGAGAAAATAAAACCGTAGGTATATTGTTTTGAACAAATATTAGATGTCCCTTAATTTGATTGCCAAACTTCAAAATTAATACAAAAAGTTCTGATGGTTAAATCTGAATCATAACGAAGATATAACAGCTTGAAGACGACATATGAAACATGTAAATAATGTAAATAAAACGCCTGGAAAACATTCACACTTTTATCTTCAAGTGTTGCAAATTGCACAGGTATTTGTGTAAATCAAATATATAAAGTTAAACTGCAAAAATTTTTAATAACTAAAACTAAATGCAAATTAACTAAGTGTAATAAGAACTACTACATACTTTAAAGACAGTTTAGTCCTCATATAACTGAAGACATACTTATTTTTTTACAATCATGGTCTTGTATTGATGTAAATTTTATATAGACGAAACAGGAATCAAAATTAATGTACCTAATACAATTACAGTACATAATTGTCGAATTTTCGACTGTGATAAGATTGTTTAGACAAATAAATATTAGATGTACCTTTTACAACGCGTATTAAATGATCTAAAACGAATCAAATTTCTTTCATAGGCGATCTTAAGCATTTCACTTAATGTACCTATGCTTTTTGGCAGTTTTTTGACATTTTCACTACTACCAACCAACTTTACAATAAAGTCACTCATTCAAGGAAAATTATATTTTCACTTTTCTCTAAACGTTTTCCCCTTCTTCTTCTTACGTTTATATCACCACCGAATCACCACCGCGGGTCCGCGCACTGATACACCTAGGCGTTATATAACAGAGGACAAGGTCGTGAACGGTGAACTCCTGGCCTCGACCGGTGGTCAGCCAGCACGGGAGAACCACCGTGACTTATCTCTTTATTTGTTCCTTCCTCAGGATGTGCGAGCGATGACGGACATGGTTCTTGCGATGGCGGCGCTGTGGTTGGCCAACCTGCTGCTCTTGGCTGCCGCAGGCGCCGAACACGTCCGAGACCTGGAGGTGTCCGAAGGGGCCCACGTTGGCACCAGGATCGGTTTCATCGGCGACGGAGCCTCCCCTGACAGCGGCCCGCCTTACCTCATCGTCCCCGTGGGTAGTGCCGTGGACTCGGACCTCGCCATCGACCAGACCACCGGCGAGATAAGGACCAAAGTGCCTTTGGATAGAGAGACGCGCGCGAGTTACTCCCTGGTGGCTATCCCCATCAGCGGGGATAACGTGAAGGTGGTGGTGAAGGTTTTGGACGAGAACGATAACGCCCCCACGTTCCCCATGGCGGTTATGAACATAGAGTTCCCCGAAAACACCCCCAGGGATGTCAAAAGGACTCTGCACCCCGCCAGAGACTTGGACCTTGATATTTACAACACGCAGCGGTACAATATCATATCGGGGAACGTTAACAACGCCTTTAGACTGTCATCGCACAGGGAAAGAGACGGGGTCCTCTATTTGGACCTTCAAATCAACGGATTTCTTGATAGAGAGACCACTGCTTCTTATAGCTTGGTTATAGAAGCTTTGGACGGAGGTACCCCACCTCTAAGAGGTGAAATGACTGTAAATATAACTATTCAAGATGTAAACGACAACCCTCCAATATTCAATCAAAGCAGATACTTTGCTACAGTTCCTGAGAATGCTACGATTGGAACCAAGGTCCTACAAGTCTTTGCTACAGACGCAGACTCTGAAGAAAACGGCCAAATCGAATATGCCATAAACAGGAGACAAAGCGATAGAGACAACATGTTTCGCATCGATTCCACAACTGGACTCATAGCAGTTAACAAACCTTTAGACTTTGAAACTAAAGAACTACACGAATTAGTTATTGTCGCGAAGGATCACGGCTTGCAACCTCTGGAAACCACCGCGTTCGTATCTATAAGAGTTACAGACGTCAACGACAACCAACCTACCATCAACGTTATCTTTCTCAGCGACGATGCCACTCCTAAAATCAGCGAGTCGGCCCAACCAGGCGAATTCGTGGCTAGAATCAGCGTCCACGATCCAGACTCCAAGACGGAGTACTCCAACATCAACGTGACCCTAAGCGGAGGCGACGGTCACTTTGGTCTGACCACGAGAGACAACATTATTTACTTGGTGATAGTGTCTTTGCCCTTGGACCGGGAAATGAAGCCGAACTACACCTTAAGCGTCGTAGCTACGGATACAGGGTCACCCCCTTTACACGCCTCCAGGACCATCAACCTCCAGGTGACGGACATCAACGACAACGCTCCCGAGTTCGAACAGCAGGTCTATCACGCCAACGTGATGGAGGTTTCCGATCCCGGAACGTCCGTGATCCAGGTCGTCGCCAATGATAAGGACGAAGGTAACAACAGTGCCATAACTTACTCGCTGTTGGAGTCTCCGGACACGCATTCCGGGTGGTTCCAGATCGACTCCAGGAGTGGTTTAGTGACTACGCGTGCTCACGTTGATTGTGAAACGGATCCAGTACCTCAGTTGACAGTGATTGCCACCGATAATGGCTTTCCGCCGTTGTCATCTTCAGCGACAGTGTTAGTGACCATTCACGATGTGAACGATAACGAGCCCATCTTCGATCAGAGTTTTTACAATGTGTCCGTGGCTGAGAACGAAGCGGAAGGACGCTGCATTTTAAAGGTAAAGCATATTTTCAGTATTACTTAAATAGTAGGAGAATGATCTTGAAAACATGTGGTACAATCCCCAAAGACCCCATTATTTAGGAAATTGGAGTTGAGTGAATGTACTTGAAAAGACACATTCTTTCGGCTGTTGTAGTTCAACGTGCCATTTTTTATCGGTTTCGTATTATCCGGCAGAGTGTGTTATTAATGGATTTTTTAAAATTTAATCAGTAAACTGTAACTTCTTTAACCAATAATACGGTTATTGAAAATTTTAATAGCATTTTTTCGTCGAAGTGTAATAGAAACTCGATTCATCGATATTAGCTAACTAAAATAGAAACTGGTTTTTAATTTAATTGTTTTTGTATACCTATACGAAACGGTAAACTTAAGCGTCTAGATGATTTGCAAAATGAGGCGTTGTTCATTGTTTTTTTTTTCTGTATCGTGAACTCCTCGTGTATTACCAAAGAAAATTACACTCCCTTTGCACCGGGTGGCAAGTTTATACAAAAATTTATACGCGAAACGCAGCTACTTCGATCTGACGTTTGTGTAAGATAGAATTTGTTACCTCTTGTTGACACAGATGATTACCTAGGTAGTGTGAACTACCTTTATGGGTCAAAATCCTCGGCTCAATGGGTGGTCATACCTGAAGTTAACAGTTCTCCGAGGAGTCGTAATTTTTCAACGTCATATTTTTAATTTTTATTACTGGGTCATATTATATAATTCGCTCGGTGGACAAACCTCCACAAAATAAATGGACGTAATAGTTAAGCGCGTCCAATTTAAATTTATTCGTCTATGCGCAAAGCATCGGCGATCGCGCATTAAATATTCTGCATATTCTCTTGTTTACAATAACAAATGAAGCACTTAACCTAAATATGTCAATTGTTTGTCTCCTTCCGCTTGGCGCTCTTAATACGCGAAAATAAATTCGTGGTTTGTATAGAATTTTTTATCCTCGGGTAACTACAGAGAAAGTTGACAAGATTAAGCACCTACGAGACCAGTTGGTAACGACTTGTGAACGTACAGACGTCTTCAGATTATAATATTGGGTTATTATAATTGCATTCATTTATTTTAATTTCGATATCGCTTCGAGTGTTAATTTTCTCCACAGTTATTCGACGAAGAACGTAAAAATTAAATTATTATTGACATTTTTATACCATTTACGATTTTTTCCATTCGACTTTCTATGATGGCAGTTTTTAATCATTTCTACACTCATTAATAGGTACGTAGGTAATTGCATATGATTTTGATGTACCTAAATGACATTCTTTTGCAAAAAATTATACATAACTAGGATGATGCGACGCACAACACTTTGCACGTCCGCTATGTGACCAATATACATTTTATGTAACAGTTTTTGTCACACACGTATAACCACATCAATTTTTTAGTCATTTTTCTCTGTGTACTGAACATTTGTACACGAACAGCGCAAGCTTGCAGTCGGAACAGCAGCTTTAAACGCTAGGGAGGAATTAAACTGTAGAGAGTCCTGTCAGGTGATGTAACAGACGAAAACATCCTTCTTTCGCGTAAAAAAGTGCGACTGACCTCATCCCGCGAACAATTAAACAAACCGAGAGGAAATAAAAGTAAGAGCGCGACCACAGAATGACGCCGTTAATTGGCCTGCCGGTATGACACGCCGGGTTACCGCGAACCGGCCAGATATGTGACATATTTCAAGTGCCTCAGGTAGTCCGTAATAAGGACATTAATAGACGTATGCAACCAGTCGTTTTTTTTCTTTTGCGGTACTGTTACCAGCTCTGGTACATCCAAAAGAGAACCACTCGGGGTTTGTGTCCATAGGTAGCCTTCTATTGATTAAATGTGTGTTTTTTACATTCACACTGTTAGGAAAGTAAACACACTCGACAAATAGTCAGCCTCATTGTGGGGCCATTATTGCTTTGTATCCTTTGTGGCTTGTTCGCGTCGGATCATATTTTTTATACTCGGGCATTGTGGCTTCGACAAAGGTTAGTTGCTTTACGATATGTCGGATTGAATGAGTTCACGATTTGGTAAATAAATCACACAAATGCGGGAATTAGGCTTTGAAGGATGGGTTAACGATGTCCTACAAATAAGTAACTTTATTAATAAAACAATTAAATGTGGAATAATTTCTGTTTTTATTTGACATTGTCAGTTTATTATGTCTTTGACTATGACTAATAGTAGCAAAAAAAACGTCTAAATATCCTTTTTTATCACTTATTATTGTTACAGTTACGTACGCTAATTTAGTAGAAAAAAAAATCGTCATTAATCGTGCGATATATCTGATACTACAACTGATCTCAGCTGTGTTTGATCTACATTGCTTATCAAGGTGTACTATCGGTAGTGTTTAACGTCTTGTCAAGCATGACGACTCGAGTACAGTGAAGTACCTACCTCTTCCAAATACGTAAAACTTCTTATTTAACAAGTTTAGTATTACCAAAGTGTTTCCATATTCTGATAGGTACACTTCCTGAGAAGTTGCGCATCCTCAGCTTTCGATTTTGACCCGATTCCGATTAATTTTCTTCGGTAAAAGCTATTGTACTTTAATTTATTCAAAAAACATTATCCGACGCTGGATACAAACGGTTATTATCACTATTCCTCGTCGTGGTGTAAAAATCGAAATAATAAGAGTCATTACATCGTCCAACGAATTTCCAGAGGCGGTTTCGTTATCTCTACCGCGCTGTCGGAGCAGGTTGTTGCATAACTTCGGATCAGTCTCAGAGGGAGAATTGTATTGCGTACGACATTAATAATTTTACAACTAATTACCTAGTTGCAAGTTATCTGCGTGGATATATTCTCGACTTTCACTTGTCTGCGCTTTCTACAGGCACTAAAATGTTGCGGAATTGAATTTTCTTGCCATTTATAATGGATTGTCTTGCTGAGTACAACAAACATTAACGAGGAACGAATTTTTTAAGAGATTTTTATCTGCATCATCATTAAGGTCGATACAGAGTGAGCCTGTATTAACAGCTGTACAGCTTACTTAGCAGAACATATAACTAATACTTTTTTGCGAAAATAAAGTATGTATGTCTAATTTTTCTTTAATACGTAGAATACTTGTTGAGAACTGCTGACTTTCAGTCTTGGAAAAAACCATGTGCCGTACACTTGGACAAGCAAAGCGCGATCTCACACACACAATGACAATGAAATGCAGGGCAGGCATTAAGATATTGTATCGAATAAATTGATCGATGCGAAGTTTCAAACCAGAGGCAGACATGTAGATACACGTTGTTGTGTTACTTTTTGTTTGAATAAAATTACATAAAAGAGAATCCGGCCTACAGCCAATCCTGAACCACATTGCAGCCGCCCTTACTAACAATTTTCTTAAGGACAGCGGTTCTCAAAATGTGCCTCTAAGGTAATAGATTAAAAAATAATATTTCCGCAAATTTCTCTTTAAAAAACATATGTTCTAATGTTATCAAATAAATTTTAAACATCTTTTTTCTAAATTTTATGATCTCTAGACTCATAGATAAAATATGTGTACACATTCAAAGATCACCCTGTATGCTGGGAGGTAGCAGGTGCAGCCAACAAAAAAATCAAACTTCGCTTTCACAAATCCGCAGTTAAATATAAATTAATATGAAGTCATAAACGATGAGCACTTGAAGTGAAAGATTTTCACTGGTTAATACTAAACGTCGGTACCTGTTGGCTTGTCTCCTTGGCAATCCTTTCGCTGTCCGGGCCGTCGAACGTATGTTTCCTTTATCTTTCTAAGACATAAAATAGCCGCAACACGACGGACGAAACACCCACAAATTACGTCTTCCTCGCCAAGTGTCGCCGAGACTGTGCATTCTTATTAAACATAAATTAAAGCGGGACGATCTAGCTATCCGTGTTAAATAGTTAGCTGCGTTTTTATGCACAATCGAGTGTGAAATATAATACGAGCCGTTTTTGCGCGAGGATTGCGAAATAAAAACAAGCGTGGTATCCAGTTCTGTTGGATGTGATACTGTACATTATGGGTAGTCGATAATGTTGATGTATTAAATTAAAATTTACTGGTTGTCTTCGGGGAACGTGAAGTGGGGAGTAATTAATAACTGGCTAACATGCGATATTTTGATTTAGAAACGTAAATTATACCCACAACATGCTCATTTACGTATGGATACGTTAAACCCGACTGGACTTCCTTAAATTTGATAGCCGCTGCGATTTTTTCTACTCTTAATGGTTCTGTCACTATATCTTACTTTCTGGGCACATATAAGGTCTATTTTTTACGTGGTAGCAATTTAAAAATATGTCTTTCACTTTTTAATTTGCCCGATATTATTCTGCGCAAGGTTTCTGATAGCGGGTCCGCCCCTACATAGCTTAGCCCGAGAAAAACAAGGGCAAGTCAAAGATTCCTTTATTTTAAATGTTAAAAATCCCTTTTAAGTCTGTAAACACCCTGTATATTTTGTTTGGAAGGAAGAGGCATGTGAAATGTTCAACAGATTAATCAAAGTGATTAATGCAACGTCTTGATGGAAATATAATTACTATTTATATTAAATAATGTCTGAAATTAGAACTAGAACGATGTTATATAACGTGGTTGGTAATATTAAATTAACTATCCAACTTTTTGGGTCAGGTGTTTGCTGTAGAACACCCTGAGTCTCATTTAAAGTCATTATAGGTTATAGGCCAGTCAAATTGTCGAAAATACCTAATTTTTTGCTAAAATTTAGTTCAGTAAACAAAGACACGTAAAAATTAGGAAAAATTCCGTAGAATTGAATGAACTACTTTACTTCAGCTGAATGTTAGGGCTTTATTTTCAAAATGGCGTCCAAAGTTCGCAAAATAGTTTTTATCAACAAAAAAAATGTTTTAGACAAAAGTTGTAGAACTTTTTATAACAAAAATTTTGAAATGTATTAGTTATTACAAAAAAAAAACGGAGAAAAGTCGCATTTTTTAAAACTT